CCTCCCCACCCCTGTGCAATGTTGACAAAACACTTTCATCCAACACAAGTTTGCATTTTACCATTTTCCAACATTGGAAGGGGGAATGGGAGTGTTGACACTTATTCTGTAGGCATTACGATTATGATCTCATGTTTTTGGCATTTTCCAACACAATTTGTCCACGATTATAGTTGGTATTTTCTTTTGTTTATTTGTTTATTAATAATAAATTTATATATAAATTTATAATGCATTTATGTTATTTTCAGAGTGGCCTTCCTGTGAAGACGCTTTTTAGCTAAGCGGAGTGGTCACAATAAATAAATAATTACTTACTTATACTTACTTACATTCATGAAAAAACATCCCACCTACCTAAAATCAATAGCACTATTTTAAATTTTAACACATATTAAATATGTATTAAAATATGATTATTTATTTAATTATTTCTAAAAAGAATTTTCACCTTCTTCAATATCTGCAGGTCTCTCAATCAGCAAAGCACCTGTTAAAGGAAAGAAAGTTAATTAGTTTTTAGGCCTTGGTGGACTTACATGTTTAAGTTAAGTCTTGAGGTCTGTAACATTTAATTTGAAATGCAAAAATGTACACTATGTCAAAGTTTTAATTATCATTGCATCAGTTATGTAGAAAGTTTCACATGCCCACGAGTTTCAGTTACACCTGATACATTTACATTCTCATAATAAATGATATACTGTAAAAGTTCCAACCTATGAAAATTGGCTGGCAATAAAACCTACCATATCCATCTGCAGGTGAAGTGTTCAGCTGGAGACATTATTGCATTGCAGATGTGTACACGTACAATAACATTTATGTTAACTCTTCAAAAAGTACAAAAGTAAAGTAAAGTAAAGTAAAGTACAGGGTATAATAAAATACACAATGCATTGAACAAAAAACTTACCCATTGAGCCAGGAATGCCAACTCTACCCTGAGGAATCACAAGAATTTTTAACCAGAAGAGACTGTTGGTACAGGAATAAGTTCACTCAAGCAAGAGAGCAGGGAAGCTAGGTTGTTTGAAATGTTATATTTAAGAAATGGAAAACATGTACTATGTTTCTATCGAGTTTTAGTATAAATCTACTAGCGTTCTATCATGAATGCTGTTCTCTGATTGGAAACGCTAGTCACTATCGATTCTGTGATAGATAGTGAGCAGCGTAGCAGTGAGCCCTTGTTAACAAAATGATGGCACTTCTTGGCATTTTCGAGGTGTCTTTGAAGAGGAGTGAGATAAAGTTCTGAACAACTAGTAGATTTATACTAAAACAATTAGATTATTCGCTCTCGATTTCCATGCGTGATAGTTGACTTGGGCTGTGCTCTTGTCAACTATCGAGCAATAGAAATCTCAAGCTTATAATCTAATTGTTTAATAGAAACACAAGTGAGAGTTTGGGAGAACAAGAAATGCTGTGGGAACATGAGCTGTTAACCACAGCTTTTTCAAGTTCTCCCAAACATTCACGAGTGTTTCTATAACTTGATAGAAACACGGAGAACATCTTTTCTATTTCTTTTAGAAAATACTGCAGCAAAAAAAGAAAAACAACCTGTTTACTTTGATCATCAAAATGTAAATTCTCTTTGCTCATGCCATTATTATGTCAACAGCTTGTGCTCGTTCTGGTTTTCTTTTGAGATATAGAAACACGATTTTAAACCAATCAGTGCACATAATTATTTTCTATGGGCTATTTTCTAAGGTTAAATGGAAGAGAGGAAATTAAGTAAGAGTACACAAACACTTACCTGGCCAATATCCAGATCCACAAACACCGGTCTTCTACCCATCCTAACAGCATAGTTTAACAGCAGCTGACACAGGGTGGACTTACCAACATCCACAGGACCCACAACTAGTACCTGAATATTACCAAATAATAATTATTTAACAACCAACAATTCATTTTTGTGTAATCTGAGAACATTCATGGGAGACCAACAAGATTCTTGGGAGGTCAAACTCACCAGCCTCATCCACACCACCCTGTTAAATATAGCTGATTACACCTCCCCCTTCCTGCCACCTGAGCAAGAATCATCACCAGTGTTTAAGGTTTGTTAGCAAGAGTCATTTTCAATAGCGTTTCACCAGGTGATGTCTCATTGTCTGCATACAGCCAAAGTGACCCACACTTTCACTAGAACTAATATCCTGATTAATTTTCTGAAGTACAAAGCAACTACATACATGCAGGTACACTGTTCAATTAACATGTGTGGTGGCATTACAGTTGAACCTCCACTAACCGCCACCTCTCAACAGCAGCCACTTTTTTTAATCACAGGGGATGCCCATACATTCACTGCACAATTATGACAACAGCCACTAAAGCAAGTCCTAACAACCTCTAAAAAAAATAATAATAATACATATTATACCTCTACCTCCCTGTAACGACCACTTTTCTACAACACTCACTTTCCTCTGTCCCAAAGTGGCTGTTGTGGAGAGGTTCAACTGTAAATTTTGTTATCCCATATGAGTGGGATTGTACATATTAAAGATTTGCCTCACAAGTGCCGTAGCATTTTGTGAGGTTGCTATAATAGTTTGACAGGAGTGAAATAAAGTAGATGAACAGCACTGTGACAGTAAAGATACAAGAAGCGTCCTGCTAAAAAACACCACACATTGGCATGATGAATGTTCTGCTGAATCCAGAGTACAACACCCTGACTGTTTTCTCTCATGCCACCCATAGAATGTGCAGGTAGGACTCACCCTTGGACCAGTCTCAGATTCATCAGGAGAGTTTTCAGCCTTTTGTCTCTTTTGTTCCAGGCCCATGTGAAGATTCAGGTACATGACCATGGGTGTTTCTTTAGAGATATAAGCAACTTCCAGAGGACCAGAGATTTATGCTCAGTTAGGGAAGATACACTGTGCCTGTACACTGTAAAACAGTTAAATATAACTAGTAGATGTATGTGGCGAAGTGAATCATAGCTCATGCTTCCCAAGGATCCGAGTACATAATGAAAAGGATATTTCAACAGTACAGCCATGCCAGGTGAAAATGGCAACTTTTGATCCAGCCTTGAAGGTGAATTTCTTGTTTCTTATGAGTTCAGTTCCAAACACTTCACCTTGACCTTGGAGAAGCTAAATTGGGGGAAAAAGCAAAACAATTAAAAAACACAATTAGAATAGAGGAAATAAAATAAATGAAGTATTATACCAAGGTGTGTATATCAATAATATCATCATGATAAAAAAAAACTTTTTCAAAATGTGTGTCTACCACAATTTGAAATCCATCAGACATACAATGTATAAGACATTGAACACTTAATATAGCATGGGAACTTTCCAACAACTTTTGTTTGGTTTCAAATATGACATTTAAAGAAATTTGCATCAAAATGCCACAAGAAAACATGATCTATTTTATTTCTGATACTTGCTCCAGCTCGAAACTTATGCATAGCCAGCCGAGATTTTCAAAAGTTCAGTTTACCACAAGTTCAGCTTTTCCCTTTCCTTCAGGAATCTCCAGCCTCAATTCTGTGTCCTTTTCAAGTTTCCATTGCTGCCTTTCCTCTTGCTGAAATGTAAACGTACGTTTGCAATACTGTTTTCAGATTGTAAACTGTTTATGCTTTAAAATACATAAGCTTAAAGTTCTTGTCTTTTGACTTTGATCATTACTTGTCAATGGGTATGTCCTGTACATAGCCGAATTATTTATTATTCTTTCACGTCTTATGCAAGGAAGATTTTCGATTCGCATTGAAAATTAACGTGCGTACAATTCCTCTACAAGAAAAGAGTTTCAGCTATTCTCTATAATGTCATCAACAACCTTTACAAAACACGTGCGCACAAGTTAGCGCTTGTATTCGACTGAATTTTGCCTATGCTCTGAATATTTTCTTCACCTACCGCGCTTTTCTCTTGCTCTACTTCCATTTTTTGGAAGACAGTACTTCCTAAAGACGTTTCAACGGTAGTTTTCCGAGGTCATGTCCACATTTACAAGTAAACTTTCAAAAGAAAATATTCCAAAATCGTTTCATTCAACAATGAGCTAGCCGTCCGCCATCTTTGATATCTCCTCTCTTCCCAGTCTCTTACCGAACTCTCGACAACCTGCAAACGAGGCGGCAGTTCACCCGCGTTTATGGCGGGAAAATGATTTTTGTCGACATGGATGTTTCACGTCAATTTGTAGCATTTTTCCATCGTTTTACCATAGTTAGTCTCCTCCACTAACTATGGTTTTACAGTTCATTTCAGCAAATTACGCCATTATTTACATGCGAGGTAAGAATTAGTGTAATTCTTTATTAGAAGACAGTTTTAAACCCGGCAGTGAACAGTTAACTACTATATTTACATCGAAATCTCAGCTGAATTGCCAGCTGACTATGAATGATGTTACTTTTTTCGGGTTGTTTGTGCCTCGGATGAACTGTGCTTCACACTATGCGGCAAAATGTCTTTAAAATACTGACTGGCTTATAATTTATTTACTGCATAAACTTTTTTAACGCAAGTAGAAAGTAAGAATTAAAGCACAACAACCCACACATGTTTATTTACCAAAACGAAATTCGTAAACAGCCATTTATTTGGACCCGTTCTGTCGTGGACCAGAATTTTTTTTCCCTTTTTCTCTGTTGTGCTTCGAGACACTGAGTCACTGACCCATACTGGAACCCTTGTGTGTACAAATATAAAATAAATAAGCTTATTTACAGCTAAATATCAATGAAAATAGTTAACACCATTAGCGTGATTATTTTGCTACTCAGACATGTCTGCATGGATACATGTATATCACTTTTAAATTTGTAATATTTAATTAGCCAAGCTGAAAGTGAACATTCCTTTATCCTGGTCTCTGTTTGTTGCAAAACTGTTGTTTCATATTTTTTTCTTCTCAATTTCTGGAAATTGGGCAACTCTTCATAACTATCTTTAGTATCACCCAACTAGTGGACCAATGCAAATTCTGCATTTTGATTGGCTACGCTGCTAGGGGACTATTAGTAATAGTCATCGAGTAGCGAAATTGGTGCCATCGAGCGTGACGCTTTCTTTCGTTTTATTCCCAAATAAATATTTCTTCAACTTGCATTTGCTAATTTTATTATTGCCTTTTCTGTCCAACTAGTTGGGTGATACTAAAACAATTAGACCCTTCGCCCTCAAGGGCCACAGGTCAATAGCCCATGAGGCTTTGCCTCATGGGCTATTGACCCGTAGCCCTTGCGGTCTACGGGTCTAATTGTTAAATAGTCCTCTCTTTACATTCATGCTTGGGTTCAAGTATATTTCCTCTCTAATGTTGGATTTCAAAACCATTGATCATGTTTCATCCTGCCTATAACATTGCCACTGACTTATACCCCTTAACACTGGAGGTCATCAACTATTCCATGGCTAACCTGATGTTTGGTGGTCATTGTCTGGTACAAGGAATCAAGAGACTCCATGGCTTTGGAGAGAGATTCTTCAGTGACCTGAATTTTATTGTGACAACAAAATGGAAGCTCCTTTTGCTGTTTTTCACAATACTGTATGGAATCTTTAGACTTCTACTAAAGACCCGTAAGTCCTGTATGTACATATGATAGAGCAATTTAGGGTCAGGTCTCAATTTGAAATGTACATGTAGGTGGCAACTGCATGCCTGACGGGCCATGTTAAATTTTTATGAGTTAAGTCAGAGTAGTTAGTTATGCTGTTACCCAAGGGAATGTGCAAGTATAGCTGAGGAATGTTACTCTTTTTCCACTTATAAATGTAGTGACAATTTTGGTTGAAGTATTTTTCATTGCTCCCCGGGTTTGAAATGTTATGTTGCTTCAAAACACTTGTCAGTTGTGTAGTTAAACTTTGAGACTACTAAAAGCATACTAAATCGCCAGCTTAAAAAACAATATATCTCCTTCAATAATTTAAAAACCTTACATTTACTTACAATATTGCAATAAATAACATCAGTTAAAACTAAATATACCAGTTTGTAAAAAAGAACCCAAAACAATGTATGACATCCAACACAAAGTTGTGATAATTAATAGTCACAAACTTTGTTGACTGTCAGCCTGTACTTTTAGTTTAGCAATTTGATATTTTTATATCACAATGCTTTTTAGGTGAGGAAGTCAAGCCCACTGAAGATACATTTTTTCTCCCAAGATTATTCAATATGATCAAGGTGTGTGTATAATTCTTGTTGTTTGCACAAATAGTTTAAATGTCGAATATTAACTGCACTGCATAAACTGCAATTTGTTTAGTCCCAGAAAATATCCATACCTCCACCACAGAAGGATTTTTAACAAGACCCCCTACCCCTCTGAAATTTCATATTAAGCTTAATGCATTTCTTTAAATGTTTTGGTCTTGGAGACCCCCCACGCTGCCCCCACCCCCACCCCCAGGAAATTCCAATCCCTTCTGTGGGGGAGTATGGATATTTTCTGGAACTGCATATTACGAGTATCAACCTGATGAAATTATGAAATGTTTTTAAACATGCTTCTTTTATAGAATGCTCATAAACCTGGAATGGCCACAGATGTTATCTCCCTTATTGAAAAGCACAGCATAGATGTGAACAGGAAACACCCAAAATCAGATTCTGGTTTAACTTTGTTTTTGGTTTGTTGCTCAATGTCACTTATCTTTGTACATTTAGAAAACAATGTATATAATTTACATTAATTTTTTAATGTGTTGTTCCACAAAATATCCATACCCCTCCCATGGAAGGTTTTTTAGCTTGAAACCCCACCACCACCCCTCTGGAAATTCCATTTTAGTGCCATACTTTCCTTTGAAAAATTGGGCATTTGAAACCCCCCTCCCGCTTGGAATGTCTGTTAACCAGTTCTTTGGGGTGGATATGGATATTTTCTGGAACTACACAATGAACAGGATATCATATTGAGAGTAGTCGGTGGTCTGATGCACTGGTCTCATTATTACTCACACTTAAAGAGGTTGGGAAAGGGTTTAGATGTGACTAACCAGTGGCTGAAAGTTCCAAAGGTATCACATTCTATTTGGAAACTACACAGTGTTGAAACAGCCTTACTTTTTGTTCTAAGTCTTCTAATATTCCTTTTACGATTGTGTTACTTGTTTCTTATGTTATGTTTTTTGTAATCTGATGAGGTCAAAAAATGGTGTATTAATGACTCTTAAAAAGTAACTTTAAAGACATACATGATTTGTTAATGTATGAAAAAACCATTGTCAAATGAGCTAAAAGTATACAATGTATATGTATTTTGTTTTAGTTGCTATAATTGTTTGTTCTCATAATCATTTTCACTCTATATGTATTTTTTTCCTTTCACAATGGAGNAAACACGCAAAAAAAGAACTTGGCCAATATCCAGCCATCTTGACCTCACACTTGGTCAATAACCCATATAAACAAGTGGCAAATCACAGTGTCAGACATTATCTAACTGTTATCACTCCTAACTGATTGGAGATGGCAAATGATACAGCAAGAGCATTTTATTGTTATAAAAGAAACAGAAAGAGCAATGAAATTAACTAGTTCATTTGGTTGTGTCCTCAGTGTGCCTGCTTGAGTGGTGACAGCAGTCTTATAGCATACATGATAAATAAAGGTGTGTTCATTTCATGCTTCATTGAAATATGCAGAATAATTAACACAGAGTAAATGTAACAAATTCATCAGCTCCAAAGCTAGGCAACCTCAGTTCAAGGCTTCTGATATTCTGTGATGGTGCAATTTTGTAGAATTGACCTAAAATCGCAACAAATCACATAATTCAAGAAAAATAGCAAAATTTGTACGAAGTCTCTCAATTTGAGGGAAAAAAGGAAATTTTTGCTTTGCCTTAACTTCTTCAACAATTTAAACGTTATTTTAAAGTGTTTTACCTTTCAAAAGACCTCGAAAACCTTCTGCAAGCAGTGGTTCGACAAACAAACAAACAAACAAACAAACAGGCATTCTACGTGTACATGTAGTTTTATGTGTCGGGACATGATGCTAGTTTACACCATTGTTCATTGGCACAGATTAAACAATCTTTTTCAGTATATAGACCAATCACAGTCATTGATATATTCTCTGAAGGTGTTATTTGATCCCCATATTTTCAATGAAAGTATTATCATAAAGTGCTCGATAGTCACTTGCAGGATGTAGTTATTTTCGTCTGACTTGAGACAGACATCCTAATGGATAAGTTTGTTAAATCGCTGAGTGCTTCTTAAATCATAAGAGTAAAAACAATTGCACCTTCCTGTAAATGTTAAATACTATTAAAATTCATAGTATTAATAATTGATAATATTAATAATTAATAATATTAATAGTAAATTGGCTAAGTTGGGCATCTCCAAATAATGAGGCAACAGATGATCTATTTCAGATGTTTTTGTTATTCCTTTATGCTCAAATAGGGTCTTGGACAGCAAAAAATGGGTTGTGCTCATCTGAGACCAAATAAAACAATGTTAGATTAGTTAAAAAGATATTGCATAATTCGCTGCATAATAGACCTTTCTTGCCACATAATGTGCCTTGAAAGTTCCACATAATTTACTAAAAATTTTTGCAGAATATCAGACGCCCTGTCAGTTGTGCGGCCTGTCCATCAAATATATCCTTGGATCTGAATACTCTACAGTAGCCTGTCTAATGACTTTGAATTACTGAAATGACTTAATTGAAAAAAAAAATGAAAGAAAACTGGTTTCAGGTTTTCTCATTGGAAAACTGGAGCCGCATGTATTGTGTGCAGTTTCACAGTCCTTTCTCAAATTGTGGCCTTAAATCACTGATTTTCGTTATTGTAAGATATTATAATAGGTTTACGAATTGTCCTAACTCATAGACACAACTAACACAGATTTGCCTTAGGTAGGTACAAGAAATGGAGAAGAAAATTCATTATCACTTTTTCCATTTGTTCAGTACATTGTATGGTGTAAACATTTTACTGAAGTGTGCTTGTTTCACAAGCAGGTGCAGATGTAAATTTGAACACTACTTGCAAAGACAGCCCTCTTCATCTTGCCAGTTTTTGTTGTGCCACACAAAATGTAACCAATGGCTTTGGAGTTATCACCTCACTGTTGGAAGCAGGTACATTGCAGCTTACACTACTTAAAGTGTGTGCACAGATGCATCCATCTGACAATATAAATTAAGGTCTTTTGTAGCCAATATAGCTTGTATTCACATGAACTTGTTGATCAAAACAGTATAGCTTCATAGCCCTGTGTATGCATTATACATGTACTCCTGCATGCATTATACATGGATGCCTAAAAAACTAAGTCATATTGGCATCTGATCAGGAGTTGTGTAGTGTAGGCTCACATACATAGAGTTTACATGCCCTTCATAAATGTACCCCCTGTATGTGAAGTGCACATGAGCTATTGCTCAAGGTGCTACAGTGTAGGTTGCAGTATCTTACAGGCTGGTCTCAATTATTTGCTCTAAACTTCAAATTAGCAGAGCAACAGTTTGTTTATGTCAAAATTACAGCCACTTACAGTGTAGCAAGCAGTGATGATATCTGAGCAATATTAGAACGCTTTTTTTGCAAATTCATAATTGAGATAAACTTGAAAAAAGTGTGCCAATGTTTTTTTTTAAGTTTACCCTTGTGCAGTCAGTTTTAATCTTCTCTAATTTTACCCATCCATGCCCCTGTTTAGCTTTTCTGTGTTTCGTTTCGGTTCTTCTTCAGTTCCTTATTATAATTCTATGGCCAGTCAGTAAGAGTTGAAATTCCGAAATATTGGGTAACCTAGCCCCATCAATATGACACTCCTTGCTCCCAAAACATTGTTTTCATGCTGATTTGACATCCCTTTTTGGACAAAAAGAAATTGTTTCTTAACTTAGTGTTCATTTGTTAGCTTGATACGTTTCCTCACTAATATTGTCACGCATGAAGAAAAGAGAATTTCTAACTGCCATATTTATAGGCTTGGAAAGAATGACTTTGACGGTTGATGAGACTTTCACCCATGTTTTGGGCCGGGTAATCACCTCCAGTAATTGGTCTTCCTCATATGATTATTTTTTTATATATAAACACTGTAGCCTGCGAGCAGGCTCACCTTTGAGTCACGCGCGCTAGCGGCGAAGAGCAAAGCGATGCGACGGGAGGAGTTTGGTGAGGAGGCGTCTCGCGGCTACGCCGCGCGCGCTTGTGCTCCAACGTGAGCCTGCTCGCAGGCTATAAACACTGCAGTAACTCGTCCGTTTTCAAATAATGTTCAAATAATTGATATTTGGCGCCTCGGTCAGCTGTTTTTCTCCATCTTTTATCATCATGGTGGGGGGGGGGGGTATTTTACTCCGCCTACAAAGAATGCTTTTTCCCTTGTATCTCCTTAGGATGCAACATAAATTCCAAAAACTGGCTCGGTAATACTCCTTTGGCTATTGCTGCATCATCTGGAAAATGCAGCCTTATCCGTCATTTGATGTCTTTAGGTACGTTTGCCATGTCAGTCATATCGTAAGCGAAAAATGGATGCTGAAAGATATTGCAGAATGCTGCGGTTGCTTTATTTTTGGCATACTCAAAAAATTCCACAAGATAACCTCAGGACAGTTTTCTACAATAAAATTCAGATGAGGAGCTTAAATCAAGTCACATCGATCGAAGAGATAGGAAACCAGTTCTGAGAGTGATAAACGGTCGCTGACTTTGCCGGATTATACCTAAGTTAACGGTAGCGTCGTAGAGGCTTTATGTGCCACTTTGACATAAAGTGGAGAGGGGAAGGTGAAACGATAGCTCCTGTACTTCGCCTAAAGGTAAAACTATTACGAACTCTTAGGACTGCATTTTTATCAAACAATATTTGAAACTACTGAACTTTGAAGGGATTGTTCTCGGGGTTCTCTGTTAGAGTGGTTTTCAACTGACTGTGGTCAAGCCAAAACCGAAGTAGTCACTCTGGTTAATTACAAAGGACACACTCCTGTAAAGCGATCATAACACGAAGCAACACATCTATTAAGCACAAAGGGCGAGAAAGTGGCTACTTTTTCCCCCCACATTCAGAAAATTAGACGCCTGCACGTAGGTTTTAGTTGGTTGGATGGCAAACTGGCCCGACTTTTTCAAGCCAATCCTCTAGCGTGGTGATGCAAAACCAAAGCAAATACATTTTATTGTCGACGCCGAGGTGAAATAATACTTACGTTTTGAATGGTTAGGTGCAGACAAGAGTATTTGCAATAATGACGGAATTTACGCCATGGATTTTGCGATAAATGCAGGTAAGTACCGTTACTTTAATGTGTGTGGTACATATACAGAGGTCAGCTTCCTATGGTTCTAGATTCAGTAAACTTTAGAGAGCTGTTTACGCTTCAGTCCTCTCCGCATTTCATACGCGATTTTTACTAACATGACTAATCCTTCTCCTGCGTTCAATTCAGCCCGCAGTCTTCGCTCAATATATCCTGTAAAGTTCCTAAACAAAAATTGTTTCGTATTCATTCTGCATAAAAAGTGTAGCGAACTTCACTTGACCGTTTTTGCGATTGTTTGTTATTGTTTTTCTCCTTTTCGCGAAGCCTTTACCGCTGAAACTAGATATTTTCCTGTTTATCAGTCAATCCATTCTTAAGCAGCTTACTGAGCTTAGTTTAATATCTTGTATTTTGTCAATAAAACTACCTGTTGCCGAGGTAACCTTTTATCATCACCTCGCTTCAAGTTTTCAAAATATACTTATCATACTGACGAGAGGGTAATATGCGAGGAGAGAATTTATTGTAGCTAAAAGTGCAGGGATTGAACGATATAAGGCTTAGGTATTATTAAAATGCAAACAAAACCTCCAGAGAACATAGCGCGCGTGTAAGGTATAATTTCGCCCTCGGATATGTAGCGTAGACCGTCTTACATGCAGCTGCAATTCTACCATGTAAAACTATTCAGCGTAAGAGAAAGATCTGTAGTCTGTACTACTAAATGGACAGGGCATCCTATTTGTTAGATAGCCATTTTGTAAAATAATTGCAAGTGTCTGTCAAGTAAATTTTTGCGACGAAGAAATCAAGGGTCTCTAAAGAGCGACGTCGATAAATCCACCTGTTTAATTATGCATCGGAATGTACTCGCACTTCTCCACAGGTCATCTTGACGCAGCAAATTTGCTGGCTATTGACGTTCCCAACCCACATGTTTGGGACATCGTTGAACCCCATACTCCTCCACGAGTAAAGCTTGGCCTTCAGAGTCCTTCCAAGCAGCACTTGGTGTTTTCGTCCTTCCGAAGGAGACGCATGGATTTTAAGACTCTTGCTAAGTAAAAGACACGTCATGGTTTGAATTATACGTGGTAATATCAAATGTAATAAGGCTGCATAGGGTTGAAGTGCAGTGGATCGTGCGTAATTATGATTGCGTACTATTCAGTTGATGCCGGAAGAGTTCAATCGTTTGACAACACAACTAAGATACTCTTCAAGCATTATTTGTGTTGCCACGGTCTTTTTAAGCATTCGCCGGCAACATTCAACCGTTTTACAATGCCCATACAATATCAATTCAGTTACTTGGCATGTTTCGGCCCGCGCCTTCACACGTTCTTATTGGTTTTGATACCGCTGCCTTGATTGATTTGCTGAGAGTTTTTGTGAAGTAAATAAAAGGAGAAGTAACATTATACGGATGACAAATTGCGTTGAGTATCCTTTGATGTGTTAATTACTATTTAAAACAAGTAAACGAGTGGCATGGCCAAGGTAAGAATGTCCTCGCCTATAATCCATCTTAACATTGTTCAGTTATTGATGCTGAATTAACTCTCCTAAGTTGATCATTTTACCGTCATTACCTGACACTCGTTAGTACTGTCTACTGACTTCCGCAAAACTTATGGTATGGTTGGATGAATAGCCTATTCGTTAAGAATGCTCCACAATGTGTATCAACTAAAACACTCCCTGCTTAATACAAATGGTTTCACAGACGCTATTGCCAGTGATCGATGAGTCGGCCTTTTTCGGTTTTCTTATACTCCTGTAGACATTTTTCAAAGAATTTACTGAGATGATCCGTTTATACTAAGTACGTCCTTTAATTTTCAAGTCATACTCAAGAGAATGTCAATATCATTAAGCAATTGGATGAGGCTGAGTATGATATGGAGAATCATTGTGCAGACTGAGGAGCTTGTTATGCGCCGAAGCCCAGTCAAGTTCAGTAGCACTATGTCAAGTTTATAACATGAGATACAATAATTTTTCACAATATCAGCTCGCTGAGAAATAAATTAAGTTTACAAAGGGATTTTTTCTTCCTTGAAAGTAGTCTTTTAAACGTAACGGCAACCTTGAATGGCTTTTTATATTTATTCTGGCTGGCTTTTTCAGTCAGTATTTCAGCTATTTCGTCCTCGCTAAGCCATTAAGTCTCTTAGCCATTGCCGTCGCCGCTTTCTGTTACGTGACGTCATTCGTTCAATATTGGATGAATGACGTGAATGTTTCAAAATTTGCAGCTTCAGAAACAGACATTTCTTGAATCAATATTTAAAAGAAATGGACGCTGTTTCTGCCAACTGGACGTGCGATAGTTGATTCCATATTATATAGTTTCTATGAAGACGTGACGAATTTTTACGTCGATTCCAGCGCGTAGAAAATTCAAGAGTTGCGGTTAAGGCCCCGTCCACACTATACCTCAAGAATTTGAAAATGGAGGTTTCACTCTGAAAACACGTCAAATATTTTCCGTCTACACTACGCCGGAGAAATTTGAAAACGCAATAATCACCGGTCATTTTGGATTTGTGTTCGAAGAAGGCTCTGGCAGGGAAATCACAGGATTATCGTGACTTCATCGTTTTCGAAAAGCTACGTTTTCAAAATGTTTTCCTTCAACATTTAAACGCAAAGCTGGCGTTTTCAAATTCCTCCGGTTTGAGAAGCGTCTTAGAAAAGCTTCGTTTTTGTGAGGGATTAGTGTAGACAGTAGGCCTAACCGCAGAAATAAAGCTGCGTTTTCAAATTTCTCCGGCGTAGTGTGGACGGGGCCTAAGTTTGGTTCTTGACTTTCGAGTCATCTATTTCTTTTCGCCAGTTCATCGATCTGTGTGGGAGTGTTTTACTTTAGTCTCCTTCGCAGCCGTTATTAGGGTCGAAGGAGCGTTGCATGACGACCCTAATAACGGCTGCGAAGGAGACTAGTTTTACTTCGGTTTTCCGTTCAAGCATTCAGACTGGTTTCACACCATATAGTTACGCCTCCAACAAATATGTTAGCAGCGCTGTTAACACTGATGGTTTTCAGACGACTCATCTTAAGTTCAGTTAAGCTTAGAATTTTTTGGATCACGGTTTGCTAAAAACCCTTGAGATTTTGGGGTTGGCCCTTCTTACGCGATACGCAAACCACAGAAGACAATCACCACTTATCACCGGAAGACAGTCCTCGTTCTCAATATCTATCCTTACTCCACCCATTATTGTTGACGTTTATCGCTCAAAGAGTTCGTGAGAATTTTGGCGGCCACCCGTTTTGAAGAGTCGAAATTCAGGTACGTCGTTACGGAAGGTGTGGTACATTCCATTTCTTGTTTCAGTATAACTGATTAACTTAGCTATGTGTGGAATCTGGATCATGTAGTGCAAGTGTTTTTCTTGATCCTTGAGTCCATTTCAAATAAGGCGACTCGATCCCGTGTAAACTCTTGAATCTACCTCTAAATCATTGTTTCAACGTCTCCCTATTTTTATGTGATTTTAAGCATGTAGACTCATCGTCAGTTCAGTACGCTTAAGCTTTGTCATTCGAGCTTTCCTACTCGGCTGAAACTTATTGCTGAGACTTAGAATAGAAAGAAAACGTTTTTATAGAAATACGATATAGGCAGGTCAAATAAGTATAACAACAAAGTTTCGTCATATTGGGAGGAACGGCAAAAGCTTTTTTCAACTTGCTAAATGCAAACGCTTCTAGTTGCTTGTAAAAAACTGACCACCAACCGCACAATTTATAGATGCGAGCTTTTTTAAAGAAACTCTAACTAATTGTAATTTGTTAGAAGATTGTGTTCATACGTTACTTTTTGCTCCTTTCTTTTCGTGTATGGCATTACTTTTCGTTGTCAGAACTCTCCGAAGAAAAGTAATTTAAAACGTTAATCATCCAATTGTAAGCCTCGAGACGATCCGTTTGATTTTTGCGGTAAGTCTTTTCTAATTCTGCTAAAAAAACAAAGAGCTTCCTGTCGCGCCTTTGTTGTTTTCGTTTCTTAAATCTCGTATTTTTTTCTTTAAAAGGAAGAATGTAAACACTTTTCCTCACAAAGTAAAATCCAATTTCGTGTTCATACTCGATGCCGTACGTTTCAGTTTTGCACCTACAGCTATCCCTACCAAGAGTACTATCCGAAGAAGAATCGTTTTGAGCAAAAGAAGAGATGTCGGAAAACAATTCAGTTCGATTACAGAATGGTGTTTAGAAGCCGTCGGTAAATATTCCCGACTGCAAATACGGGGCAGTTCCGCTCGCATGGACAGTATTTGTTCTTATGTAAATTGCTAAGACTCAAACACGGGTGTCTGTTACTTTTAAGAGAATTGCTTTTATGCACGCGCTGCTGTGATTGGACGGACGGCGTATTCGTGCTAGAAGGTCATTCAAACGTTCCGGCTGATTAATATATGTGAGAATACCAGAGTGACCTCAAAGCCTCTCATGAAATCCCTGCTTCACTGCGCATCTGCATAAATCCTGTAACACCTGAGCACTCAACACAGACGGATTCACTCCAAGCATTCCTTCAGAGTTTCTTGGATTCCACTGGCATCTGGGACCATGAAGCGAACATTTTCTTTTGTATTCCTGCTTGTCAATTTTCTATTGGTGGTGAATTGGCAAGGTAAGCCTTTCCTCTTCCTCTTTGAGATGATCGTATGTTTACATTTTATTTTTAGCATTTTAAAATTTGGCTGAGACTTTGGTTGTAACTTATGCGATACCGCGAGATGCACGAACATTTCTACGAGCATTCTTATCGTCGGTTGTTTCTTCTGTGTAGTGCAAATGAAAAGTAATCCCAAGTTGTACCGATCGATCGCATGCCCAGATACCAGTGGCGTAAACTGAAATTGTTTAATCAAAAGTTAACCAAAATAAAACTCTTTGTACGAATCCCGGAAAACCTATAAATGGTCTTCGTCTCTAAGTTAAAAGCCTTCATTTCGTGTTAGAAGTACCCCCCTTCGTATTTGCGAGGAAACTTCTGCTTATTTCTTGCGCTCGAGCGCGTATTGTCAGTCAACAATCGAATATCAAGTATTATAAAGTAATTGATTTGTCAAATTTACAGCCGATGTCTTTGTCGCGAGTGGAAAAGTTCGTGCTTGCTTCGTTTTGTGTTAATCGTGAGTCTAACTCAAATATCAACAAAAAGCTCGGCTTAATTGGGCAGCACGCTTTCTTTGTGAATATTAAATATCTTGCACATACAATTTCCTGAAGTCGACACTAATATCAATATTGTCTCGTTTATCTCTTATCAGGTGTTCAAGCACAACTTGTAGGTAAGTTGCACAAGTCGAGTAGTAAGTTTTCAGCACTTAATTAGCATCCATTTAGTTAAATCGTCATGCTAGTAAAAGTCAATACTAAACATCCATGGTGATGAAGTGGGAACGCAAATGCAAGGGAAGGTGTGTAGAATGTGCTAGCAGCTGTAAATAGACTAGGCTGACAGCGGCGGCGGAGGCGTGATTCATTAGCGTGATAATGTCGGCTGATTGACGTCTGTTTGGTGTTAGTTCTCATCGATACTAGGCGTGTTGCGGTCTTGCGATTGCTGTTGAGGTCGGAGCAAATCATTTGTAGCTAGGAATACTAAGCCAGTTATTCTCCCGCTTCTTCCGAGACGAGTAGTCCTTGTAGAATGTTACAACAAAGCCTGGAAGAAGGTTACGCGTCTATACATGATCTATCGGTATCCCCTGCTCTGATACAGCTGTGAGTTATCTAAAGTGGGATTATAAATTTTGCCAACTTGGTCTCAAATCATTAGAGTATGACTAAAATTGGCCACATTATAAATACAGGGAACTTTGAGACCGTGAATGCACATGCAGCATATTTATTTCACTTCTATGGAGGAACATTTAATATTCTTGAAACTGATGAAAAAGGGACTGAGAAGCAACCAAAATGTCACTGATTTACAAAGCCCGAAGAGATACTGCTTCAGGTACATTACACCAAACGGAATCGAGTGTTAAACTTTGAAATAGGGTATGGAAATCATTTATATTGGTCCGAAATAAGAGAAATAACTGCGAGGCAAACCGCCTTCCTAAATTATCAATGGTATTCTCCGGGCGACTTTGCGAATACTGCTGTTGCTGTTTCTCTTATTATAACTACTTTTTTTCCTGCGTTGCCCGCTTCACTTTCTTGCCCTTCGTGATTTTCAGCATAATCATGCATGTTCTTTTTGTCAATATAATTGATCACCGCTAAAAGCTTGTTTATTTCAAAAAAATTGTTATAGCGTTGAGCCCTTAAATGGGGCGGTAAAAGACCATCGGAGAATCAATTAGCATGTTTGCGCAATTCATTCGAACAGTACTTAACAATTTGGAACAGGAGTTTTAATTTTCAAGAGTAAACGTTTCAGAATCGGCAAAAAAACAAATTGCCTTAAAAGGAAAAGAAATTTCGCACACGGTGGATTTAAATGTTGACCTCTCGAAGGGGTTATCCAAGAAATGCAATGTCTTCGAAACATTCGCTATAAATATTTTTCGGTCAATTTCTCCTTCGGTTGGGACAGGAGGCGGCGACTGCGTTTGTAGGCTTAGCCCTCTACTTTAAAACTTGAGTAAACAGGGCGTAAGTTATCTCAAAGACTATCTATAGTACAAGCCTTTTTGTAAGGAGACTTGCTTAGGTTGATTCGCCGTCTAATTTTGTGTTATTTGGGTTTACTTGACGTGCCAACAAACTAAATCGCACCCATAATGTTCTCGTTCAAATGTATTCGTAATCTACAGTAAGCGTGGGAAAGGGACAAGATTTTATTTCACATGACTGCGCTAGCCAATAAACCTGTCACGAAGAATTTGAAAACTTTTCAGCACTTCGACCTTTCTTTGTTATCCTTCCATATAGTGAAAACAATTTTAGAACACTGCTTGATTCACTTTTGTGTTCAGAGTTGCTCAGCTTCCCGCCTCACCCCAAGAGAAACTCTCGTAAATGCTTTTAACATAACCTTCGTTCAGCACTGTTGATACAGATAAATCCTCCGTTTTTCAGAAACAATCCTATATTGTTGAAAGATATTGCGAGAATGGCAGAATGCAATCAATTATTTGAATCTTGATGACTTTGTTTTAATTGCTTTTTCTTTGTTCTTTTTAGCCCCCAGCTGCTGGGCTTTTGTAATAGGATTAGTTAATTTTCCTTCTCTTTTGTCATTATTTCGTGTGCCCTCCTTTGTAAACTCTGAGCAGTTTTGCAAGCAAATTGTTTTTACATTTTCGGCATTCTATGTTGGAGAAAACGGCAAAGGAGGCATATTAAAGAACGGTCAAATCAGTCAAAATCAATAAAGTAATTTCGTTTTGTTTCTCACCACTCAAGTTAAACTTGCTCGTCAAAGGACTGTGAAATGAGATAAAAAAAAATCTCTGGTTACAGCAACAGGCAAAAAGTGTTAGTCTCATCAAGAACGAGGACAGAACTATGGTCTTACATTGGTCTTGAAAACAGCACAAAATGCCTTGTTAGCAAAGTCCGCCACAATGCTTTGTGGAGTTGTGTAGTTATTTTTATTCTTTAAGCAGTAAAGTTAGTATAAACACTCGAGCACGACACTCTAAAGGTTATCACGGCGCCATAATTAAAACAGAAATACCTGTAGCGGGCTTGTCAGTCGTTTCCTCGACACGATACGTTATTTTTGTATTATTTTATTTTATTTCATTTCATTTCATTTTATTATCATCATCATATTATCATCATTATTATTATTATTATTATTATTATTGTTATTTATTAATTACTTTTTTTAATGTGCTAAGTTCGAAACTAAACGGTCCATATCCGCATGTTCTCTTTCAGATGATTGTGGTGGACTTCTTAAAGAGAGGAGCGGCACAATAGAGACACCAAACTACCCAAACAACTACCCTGTGGATAAAGTCTGCGCGTGGGTGATAGAAACGCAATCGGGCGATAAAGTTGTACTTACCTTTGAAACGTTTGCTCTTGAAGACAATTCTGTTTGCCAGTATGATTATGTCCTTATACGGGACGGTTCGTCGGCTAGAAGCCCGATGGTTGGAAAGTTTTGCGGCACTAGCAGGCCAGCCACTATTACTTCCACGGGTAATTTTCTGTGGATTGGTTTCCGATCAGATTCTTCTACTACAAAGATGGGGTTTAAGGCAAGCTGGAAAACAGAAAAGTCTGCCTCCACCACAGCGGCAACTACAAAGACGTTACCTCCGCCTGTTGTGCCAGAAGGTTTGTAGTATGCTGTTGTATTGTAGAATCCCGCTCGAAAACTGCCTCGACTGTAGCTGTGCAAATCAACATAGCAGAATCTAGTGATTTGTCAGGGCACGAGAAAAAATGCAAATAAAAATAAGTGCAGCTATTTATATACTCCATAAAAGTAATTTTACTCGAAACCTGAACTAGCGAACTTGAAAACAAATCGCAAAACTTAAGCAATGGTACCATGAGTAAAAAACTTCCTTGAAAATCATTATTTAAAGACGTAATCCTGCATTACTAAATAGAATGATGATGATGATGATGACGACGATGATGATGATGATGATGATGATGATGATGATGATGATGATGATGGCGATGATGGCATGACCTGAAACGCGTCACTATCAGTTTTGCTAGCTAGCACAGCCGATGTAGACGACCAAATTTAAATCCTTCACAAGTAATATGTGCATAAGTGTTCATAAGTGTTACGTAAGTTCATATGTTGGACTTGATTTTCTTTCCCTAAGTGTTTCTGATTTTTTGATGTATTTGTTTTAAGTATTGTTATTTTTTTGTAACCTCTTTCAGGGTGTGGTGGCCACATGACTGGTGACGGTGAGAATTTTACGTCACCGAATTATCCCAAATCTTACCCCGTCGACAGCGAGTGTATTTGGACTATAGTTACAACTCCTGAGGACACTATTGAACTGAAATTTCACGATTTCCATTTAGAAAATACTGGTACTTGTCGGTTTGACTTTGTAGAAATCCGACAAGGCGGCACTCGCTATTCACCACTCATTGGCAAATTTTGTGCGAGTACAATCATTTCACCCATCAACTCAACCGGAAACTCACTCTTCATTAGGCTCGTGTCTGATGGAACAGTCAGTGAAAAAGGTTTTCGAGCTACGTGGAGAAGGATTTCGCACAAAACTCCCACAACCCCAACTATCCGAGTTTCCACCACACCAACACTGGCGAAAGGTAAGCAACGCTGTTCGTATGTTGTTCTCTTCAATACTAGCGCATTGTCTCTTGACTGAAGTGACTCTACCCACTGCTTATCATATCAAAGAGACTGTCGTTTTCGGAAATCCGGAGCCTGTTGCCAAGAACAAAATGTATCTCCTAGAGTGAAGCACTCTGTCATCACAAGTCGTTCTTATCGACATTAAAGGGACAGAGTCAGCTGGCGCACATCCGCATTAGATACTATTTCATAGCTATTTGCATATCACGGAGACGCGATCCATACTGCTTTTAACCAAATAGGATAAAATAATATCATAGGATGAGCAAAAGCACACTCAAAAACAGGTTTTTCAGTAAACGATTGAAAATCAAGCAAAACGCTACGAAGATTGAAGCGGATTTCTAGATGTACTAGACGCGTATCTTTGATTTCAGGTTGAGGTGAACTGTTTTCAAAGTGGGAAAACTGGTATCCCGGTCAGCGCGGTCCTAAAGCTGACTGTGTCCCTTTAAAGATAAATTAGACAAAAAGGCACCGGGAAAGTGTCTCATGCATGCAATCGTGTCGTGAACTGCCGGTAGTTTTCTAACTCTAACTTCTAGCTCTTTTACTTCTTTTTATCGTCAGAGTGTGGAGGTGTCTTAAATGAAGAAAATGGGGAAATTACTAGCCCAGGCTACCCAAACCCGTATCCATTAAACAAGCAATGTACCTGGGTCATTTTGGCAAAAGAGGGCAAAGCAATTGAATTAACGTTCCGAGCATTTGAACTGGAGAGGCACTCTAACTGCCGTTATGACTACTTGGAAGTGCATGACGGCGATGGACCACAAATGCCTTTGCTTGGGAAATTCTGTGGTAACGTGGTTCCTGCTCCCGTCAAATCTTCGCAAAACGCCATATACATAAAGTTTTACTCTGATGGACTTACTCCCAAGCGCGGATTTACACTTAAATGGCAGACCTTTGAACGGCAATCCCCGCCACCTGGGCCTCCTCCCTCGCCCGATGGAAACAAAGGTATGGTATTTGTCTATTCGAGTATGTACCGTGCTCTTATAAGTTCTACTGGAACTTAAGGCTGCTACATCGGCTAATTGTGGCATAGATTGGATTCTTCACGCGCTATGATTGTCAAGTAAGTTGTACATATATGAAGGAAGCAATGTTTTACGTTTCACTCGCCGTCAGAGAGCCTATAAGAAAGCCTAAGCCAATACCATCTGTTTGCATGATAGAGCGGTTTTCAATTGAGTGTCGTAAAGCCAAAGCCAAATTAATCACTCAAGCCAATCAAAGAGGCCATAAACATTACAGTGAGCCAATCAAAACCCGAAGTAATTACAAGTAGCTGACGCAAAGCGCGGGAAAACGAGTGCAAACGAGTTACGATTGGTTTTGGTTTTACTTCTGATTCGATGAAAAATTGGCGGGAGTATTTTAAGCCAATCGCGTAGAGTAGTAAGCGCAAAACCAATTACTTTTCGACACTCAAATCAGAACCACTCTGTACATGTATCTAATAATTATTCCACGAGACGCGTTGGACATGAGATGGTACTACGCGCCTCGCTGGCTGTAACCATCTCATATCCAACAAGCGCGAGTGGAATAATCGTTTTATAAAAACGCCCCCAAAACATTGAAAACTAAAATAAAAACGTCCCAAAAAAGTACGCGTACGTTTACCATATTTGTAGAGCATGGTATAATTAAAATTGGTTCGTGCTTAGCGTGCGTATATCGAGTTATGGATGCTCACGGGAAGTTTGGAGAGCACGAAAGAAGCGTAAGAGTTGCTCGAGGCGACAGCCGAAAGCAACTCTAGCTTCTTGTTATAATGTTATATTGGCTCATATAATACCATGATGGCTAAGCCAATGAAATGGAAAATTACACATTTGAGGTCTAGACTGAAAGCTCTTAGTGAGTGAATGAGTCTAGGTCAGTACATTGGGTCGCTTTTCGAGATCTCAAAAGCACATTATTTTCTGAAAAGGTATCGGAAAACCATCTTCTATTTGTTTCGAATAAAAACTGACGACATAAATAATAACGCTTCTTCCGGCGGTCAAGAGTGCACGGCAATGTCGGCAATGCAAAGAACGCATAAAGTGGTTGAGCTTCAATGTTTTCCTCAACGATGTGTTTATGAATGTATGGAGACACTGTTTCCAATTCATAGTTCATCCTCTGATCATGATATTAAAAAATTCTGTGGAGTCCGACGAACTTAAATGTTTACGTAGCAGTTTTGACAACAACAACAACAGCTTTATTTATCCCTTTTTTTATGAATGTATGGAGACACTGTTTCCAGTTCATAGTCCATCCTCTGATCATGACTTTAAAAAATTCCTATACCTTGTTTTTGGGGGGTTTTTTGATCAGCTTCTTTTTGAAAATTTACGTATTTTTAAACTTGCCGCTATACAAATAACAAGAGTGAAGTGTTCTGACCACACATCAGTTTGGCTAGACATATGCTCTTACCTCTACGCATTTGTAGTGTCCGGCTTGTTTTGTTAAATAATTTGCAGCCAATGCTGAGCAGTACTCGGCTTCTTTCTTATTCGATTTGTTATTTTGTGCTCTATTTTTTACAGCTTGCGGCGGCACATTTACCACGATGTCTGGTGTTATGCAGAGCTCTCTCTATCCGGAGAACTATCCCGTAGACGTGCTATGTCAGTGGGTTATCCAACTACCACCACAGTACAGAATACGCCTGGAGTTCATGGACTTTCAATTGGAAGCGAGCAGAAGCTGTCAATATGATTTCGTGCTAGTAATGGACGGTTCACCTTCCTCGCCAACCGCTCTAGGGAAATTTTGTGGAAACTCAAGTAAGAACGTTGTGGACTCTAGGACCAATGTAATGACTGTTCTGTTTAAGTCGGATGAGACAAAGACCAAGAAAGGATTTCAAGCTTACTGGTATGCTCAGCCGGCCATCATTAACATTACACCTTCTCCTATAACACCGACAAAAGTTCCATCGAACGAAATTAACGGAACTGGTGAGTGCAACAAAGACAACGTGAACTTTATTGCTAAGTTTGTAAATATAGCATTTGCAAGGTAAGAGACACTAAGAGAAAAATAACTGGCTAATCTAGTTGAGTATTTATTCATCCTTTTTTAAAACGTCTCTATATCAGTTAACTTCTAGGACAGTTAACTTCTTACACTCTTAACTTCTTCGTCTAAACGTGTACTGTGCGTGCATTTTGCGTCCATTGAAGGGGTACAGATCAAACCGAAATACGGTTTCTTTGTTTCTAACTTGCAGAGTATACATTGAGCGAAGAAGTATCTTTAATTTTCTGCTCTTCCTTGCCCTGCCCTAGAGTAACAATTCCACCTAATGATCGTATTTAGTGTTTTAATGAAGATACGAGAGAATCCATCCAAAAATTAAAATGACGAAGCGTAGTTACCGACAAATTATCCTCCAGCTAATGACTATACTTAAACTTTTAGATTGCGGAGGAAAACGCATGCGTCCAAGTGGTGATATCTTCTCACCCTCTTACTCCATTTCTTCGTCCGTACCAGCTGACTGCGTGTGGATTTTGTCAGTGTACGATGGAGACAAAATTGCGATCGGTTTCAACGAGTTTGATTTAGCCGTCGCTGTAGACTGCGCTTCTGAGTATGTGGAATTGAGGGATGGGGAATCGGACGACTCTCCTCTGCTGGGACGGTACTGCGAATCTGCACCGATGGTGGTACTCGGTTCTACGAACAAGATGTGGATGCGCTATTATTCGGTTGGGACGGGAAGGAAAGGTTTTGAAGCTACCTGGACTACAATGAAGCAGACAACGCAGGTGGAAAAACCTAACAGTCCAGAAGTGGGCGATGTGAAGAAAACGGAATCTCTTCCTTATCCACCAAGTAAGTTGCACTTTTATCGTAAGAGTTATAAAAATCTTTTTTTCTCCTTGCCATATGAGGAAACTGTCTTGTGAACAAGGGCTGAGCGTAGAGGTAAAGAAATTTATCAAGTACAGGAGGTTGTCTTGGCTGCCAATAAGGTTATAGGAGCACTCACAATGTCATCGTTCAATTGACCACATGTTATCTTTAAAGAGAGAGATTAATTTTTTCTTAGACCCATACATGAAAACAAGTTCTTTACCGTAGATATAATCTGTAGATGCCAAGGTATCTTAATCTATCTTATTATATGGCTAGCTCCGTGAGCGGGCAAGATGAATCAAATCCTGCGCTGTGATTGGCTACCCGAGCAGGCAAGATGGAGCTATCTTGCCCGCT